AAGCCACTTCAAAACTTTTTAATATATATGGTTATAATAGAATAACATTCTGCTGATAGAATGAAATGCAATAGATTCAATTTGTCAATTTTTAATGATCAATTATATTTAAAAAAAAAGAAAGTGTATATATAGGGGTATTATTTGGTAGGTCAAATAAATAATGACCTAAGATGGACGTCTACTGGACGTCAGAATACTACTAAACTTAACATCAAGTCCACAAACAGATGTCCGCTGGGTATCGATATGCAGCTGTCAAATTAATGATCATAAACGGACATACGAATGCGAATATGGACGTTCTGACCCTCAAAGGGATCTAAAGCGGACGTCCATTGAACTATGTATGCTGTCTGGGCGAAGAGCTTATATAAGGCAATGATCTTGACGTCGAGTTTCAGTTTTATGATGTACTTTGTACATTAATGTAATAGTTGTACCTATTGTAAAAGTTTGAGTTTGCAAATAAATTGAGTTTATCAAAAACCAGGGTAATACTATTTTTAATCTGTTTATATAGCATTTTCGAATAAAATTTGACACAAACTTCTTTTGTTTGGAATGCCTAATTCAACAAACCATTAAGTGAGGTTATGGCTTCCAACTGTCACCGAATACGAATCACAAATGTTTTAAGCGCACACTTGAAAGTCCACACTAGCAGTGCGCTTAAAGTTGCGTATAGATATAACGGGACGTCAGATTTGTATAGTATCGTATTTTTACCGCGCGATGGAAAGCAAACTAGCCTATACTGCGGTCCTATTTGGCCTTGGTAAGCCCGTTGCTTTCCATCGCGCGGTAGATATATGACACCGTACAAATCTGACAAACATGGGCCCTGTTATATCTATATACCAGTGGCGGCTGGTGAGGGAGGGCGCTGGGGCGCCGCCCTCCCTCCGCAGTAGCAGGAGTCATCTGCAAACTTGTATTTCCATATACTTAATCAGTAATTTTATTTAACACAAATAAATGCAATAATAAAATTTGTGACCGAACAATTTAATTAGCTACGGACGAGCCGAACCTGCCCAATACGAATAATACGGTTTTTCTCTATCATAATAAATGCGCGCTAAATTATTGTATCGACGTAGTATCAGCAGCCCATAGCGAATCGCTAAACGGTTGCCATATGGTTACCGACGTCAACGTGTATATCGCGGAGTTGGGAAGAAATTATGCATTTTGGATACATGTGTTGGCGCCGTTGGCGGGCGCAGTTCGTCAGCCCTCCAGCCCACCTGGCGATCGCTTTGTGGTTTGTTTTACTATGTTGATCTAGTGTGGTGTTTATTTATCTTCGTAATAATTATTTATTATAAAAGTAAACGGAATTAAAAAGCCACGTATTCAGCCGCTTCAGTTTAAATGATTTTTGGTATTGATTTTGTGGTGCCCTTATATACTCAGCCCTTCCTAATTACTCAAGTTACGAGCCGCCACTGCTATACGCACAAGGTATCGTATCTACCGTACGATGGAAAGCAAACGAACCTATTTCAATCTTATTTTGCCTGGCCCGTGGAAGGTCCGTTGCTCTGCTTTCCATCGCGAGGTAGATATCCGACACTGTACAAATCTGACGAACCTGGCACCGTTGTTGGCCCATGTCAATACTCGTAATTAAATTAGTTTCCTATAGTTTGATTAAAATTTAAGAATTATTTTTAAATGTGGGCGAAATAAAAATAGAAATGCTAATATTTATCGATTCAACACAAAAATAACTAATTTAAATGAATATTTAATCTCAATAACTAAAAACTATACTGACAATTTGTTTGACAGATTTGTCACTTATTTTTGTGTCATCGGCATCTACTGCGCTACGGTTATTAGCCTCGTGTTCTGTGTAGGCTTCGTTACTGTTTCCCAGCGCCACTTTAGGAACAGCACTGTTAATTAGTACCCAACAGTGAATGGTCAAGTAGGATTTAAAATTTTAAAAATAACAGTAGTCGGGTGACCAAAATATGAACTGTGATTGGTGAATTTAATTGTTTTGCATTGTAATCTGTGCGTAGATTATCTAATATACATGTGGGTGTAGAAAATAGTATATTACATAACAAGTGTGGGAAGTGTAACATTTCGCACAAGTTGAAGTTTAACGACGAGTTGTATATACTATTTTTTCTACGGCCACATAAAAAATCTTTCAAAAACCGTCTTTTCCAAATAATAAATTCAATCAAACAATATCACATATACACTGAAATGTATATCACATATGATTATAAAATTATTTTCTTCCGAGAAGTATCTTTATAGAAAATGTCGTTTCAATATTCGATAAATAATAGTGAGTATATTTATTTTACAATTTTAAAAACCTATAAAAAACTTTATTGTCTCTTAATTTATGTAGTCTATAAGATCCAAAGTAAGGCCAACCTTCATCCATCTATTTAACGAAAAATAGCACCCTGTAATCTATTTAACGAAAAATAGCACCCTGTAAAGTATTTCCCAGATGCTTCGACTATATGCCCAACATTTAATCAGCTCACCACAGGATGGACTAAAGTTTCAGTTTAAAATTTGGTGTTTTTCTTTTTGTCCGTTTTTGAGTTATCTTCAAAATTTGCACATTTCCTCAAATATCTAGAATATGGTCCATTTTAGGGAAATCATGTATAGGACCAAAATACAGTTCCAAATATTCCAGTTAATCAACATGTTATGAATGATTATATGAACAGAATACCTGAAAGAAATTTATTTATTTTTATGCCCGTAACTGAAAATAAAGTTCTTCCCTTTATTGTTCCTTATGTAACACATTTAATAAAAAACTTTCCTAATGTTAGGAAACAAGCTTTAATCAGGCCCATTCCAAAAGCAAATAAACCCCTTGAATTGAAAGATCTAAGGCCAATAAGCATACTTCCCACTTTATCTAAAGTTTTAGAACGTGTTGTAGATGAACAACTAAGATATTACATAAACATAAATAACTTACTACCCGAATTTCAGTCTGGATTTAGGCCTTTACATAACTGTCAAACCGCTTTGTTAAATATAGTTGATGATGTACTACGAGCCACGGATAATGGAAATATTACAATACTGGTGTTACTTGATTTCTCTAAAGCATTTGACACTCTACAACACGATCTACTACTTGCAATTCTAAAATCAATAGGCCTCACTGTTGATTGTATAAATTTTTTTCAAGAACTATCTTACTAATAGGTCACAAAGAGTAAAGTATGGGGAGCAATTTTCATCCAGTTTAAATATTTCAACAGGGGTACCAGAAGGCTCAATTTTAGGACCCCTTTTGTATACTCTGTACACTTCTGATATTGGCAGTCACAAACGTTAGTAAAATCCACCTATATGCCGATGATACGCAAATTTATCACTCTTTCAACGCAAATAATTATATTCAAGGCTTAGAATGCATTAATGAAGATGTAAATAATATTATTCATTGGTCATCCGATCATGCTCTAAGTATAAATTCTAATAAAACATCTGTATTAGTGTTCGTTCCTAAAAAAGCAACTTTTATCATGATTCCTCCTTTCCATATCTGTATACAGAAAGAAAAGTAAAAAATGGCCATGGCCATATTTTCTTAGGCAACCCATTTACTTTAAATTAATAAAACATATTTTATTTAATAAAAGAACATTCACCCCTTAAACAGATGGGTGAAGGTCGACCTAACTTCGGATCCTGTACTAATTCATAAAAAAAAATTATTGACAATTACAATGGCTGCGTTCATCCGCGCCACATGCTACCTGATCGATCTGGTAGCGCTCTCGAGTGGCACGTATGAACGGTGTATTTTGACATTTCGCTCAAGGAGCGGCCGCCATTAAAAGTAGCGCATTTTATTTACGCTGATCAGTGATCACTGATCTGTCTTACGCACTTACGCCCACGGTTTGCTTGGTGACTAGTAGGGTTATATTAGCAATTGAAAAATAAACAAACCACAAATAAACAAACAAATCTTCAACCAGAGACATTCAACTCAAAAGTAAAATGAATAAACCACAATGAAATGTCACTTTTAAACATGGTTCATCCGTGCATAAAGATCGATCAGGTAGCGTAAGTGATCGCTACTTTTGTAGCGCTCCTTGAAATGGCGCGGATGAACGTACATGTCAGAACGATATTTTTTACTTTTCAATACATGTGTTTCGTTACTTTTCAATGCAAGTATTATACATATTTCAGTACACAATTATGATATAAGCTACTTTCAATATAGTACAAATGAGTGTGAAAACTATCATTTTGATATGTGGTCGTAGGAAAAGACTGTTTTTTGGTTTATGAAACTTTGTATTTTAGTTTTGCTTGTTAAGGTAATAAAATATCTATTTTTGCGTTTTAAAATAAAAATTTAAATTTTTCAGACATAACATTTTTTTTATTTTGTTATTTATTTATTCATTCCCAACGAAACTTTTGAATTAATTGTAATAATTCTCACAACTGTTTAGAGTTAACTGCGGGAACTGAGAATAGTTTAGAGCGCTGTCGGCTGCCGCACTGACTGCACTCGCAGTTGAACCGAGAGCCACAGTCAAAGTGTTAAAATAAATATTGTTTGTTGCATTATCATTTTGAGATAAGAAACTTTGTTTACAATGAAAATGTCGAGTAATTAATCTCATTCTGTGGTTCTAAACTACCAACCCACAACATTTAAATTTCGCAGCCAACTTCAATTATGATGGCTCGTTAATGTTATCGCAAAGGTCTTCACCGACAATGAAACGCAGTTTTCAAGAACGTACTGAATCCAAACTCTTTGAATGCACTCCTCTGGATATCAAAAATGTATTCTGCCTGTTTTTTTTTAATTACATTATTTATCGTATATCTACGTAAAACATTAAAATCCTCGGACAATATCAACAAATTTTGAAACCGTGACAGATGTCAGTATTCCAGTACACATTCCCGAAATTTTTTCTGCCTATAATAATAAATGTCTTCAAACATCAAAAATAAAACGAATTTTTAACAAAAAAATGTATTTATTTAATAAATAGTGTTGGAGGCAAAACCTAATGAATACCAAAGATAAATACTTTTTTGAACTGATAAACACAAAAATAAAGCTTAAATATATATAATTTTAATAATTTAAATTTCTGTAAGTCTCCCTTGATAAAATAAAATATTTAAAACATTAGTACTTTGCTTCATGGGAAGATAGACTCAGAATGATCTAAACCAAACACTTGTTTACAAACACGAATTCTTCATTTATTATTTAGCGTGATTTAAAGACCAGCCAATATTGAACCTGGATTTTCTACACCTTGTTTTATTTTTCTCAAGAAAAACACAGCTTCACGTCCATCAATAAGCCTGTGATCGTAAGTCAATGCTATGTACATCATTGGTCTAATTACAACCTGAAAAAATGTATTAATTAAAAAAGAAATTAAATCAAAACATATTTTCATATAGTTTTATTAAATGGATAATAAATCCAATAATACATTCAAATTACCAGGTAACCAAATAGATTCGTGCGGTGTTTGATGGTAAAATTATACAAATGTATCTAAAAAAGTGTTATTGAGCGTTTTTCTAGATCTAATCATCAATCTGAATTTTAAATTCTAGTTTGGTTATTCAATGTATTTCAAGAGTGATTTAAGAATGTTTATTCAATACTGAACATACTAATCACCTAATATTTACATTACATTACTAATCAATCAATTCATAATTATGATTTATTATTACCTGTCCTTTTAAAGCAATTGGCCTATCAAATATCCCGTGCATTCCTAATATGGCAGATTGAGGAGGGTTTATAATGGGAGTTCCATATAGGGAACCAAATACACCGCCATTACTAATTGTGAAAGTACCTCCGTCCATATCTTCTACAGCTAACTGACCTGAAGATAAAAAATAATATAAAACAAAGAAAAGTCCTTTGATATTTATCAATTTTTTAAAGGGAGACATTTATTATTAAAAAAATTGTACAATCAGAAGTAATAAAAGATGGTTTGGATTTTAAATTCCAAAATAGTACTTAAAAATCTACTGAATTTGTCCAAAAAACACTGTATTAGGATGACATAAGTTGTAATCCACTAAAAATGAAAGTAGATTTATATCATGTCATCAATTTTAAAGGCAAAAAAATGTAAATGTTTGCGACAATTTTTATAATAGCCAAAATACATAATCACTTACCTTTCCTAGCTTTCTCAGCTACATGTGCTATAGCTAATTCGATATCAGCATAATTCATTCTTTCAACATTCCTTATAACAGGCACCACAAGCCCTTTTGGAGTAGCTACAGCAACAGAAATGTCGACATAATCTCTGTAAAGTATGTCAGTGCCATCTATAACAGCATTGACGACAGGCTGATCTTGTAAAGCATAAGCAGTAGCCTTCATGAAAGCTGACATAAAACTTAATTTCACATTGTGTTTCTTCAAAAACTGCTCTTGGTTTTCCTTACGAAAAGCCATTATATTCCTAAAATTTACAAATTAAAATAAGTGATAAAATTAATTCAAAGTGCGAATTCTGTGGATTAAGGTGTTATAATGGGTTCAGTTCATTCACTTTAAGTTTGATATTAGACAACTTTGAACCTACATAATATATAAATTAATAATCAATATTCAGTTAATTGACCCACAACAAAAAAGTAAAGAAAAAAACTTCGAACTGTTGGTAATAATATAAAATTAATGTGTATATAATTAGATTTTAGTTTTACCAGGGGTCTCAGATTTGTTCTTTACAATGTCAAAGTGCACTAAATATAAAAAGGAGTTAGTGGAGGACAAGTCCTCATTTAGTGTGATGGGTGCAAAAAATGGAGACATATATCTTGTGCAAATAATATGACTTCCACTGAAGTTAGATGTCTGCAATTGTCACAAGATACCCACAAACTGAAATTATTTTGTAAAGATTGTGAAGAAAATCCTATGCAACAATTATCTGAACTTAAAAGTATTATAAAGAACCTGCAAGAGAAGTTTGTCAAATTGAGGACGTCAAATGAAAAAGCGTTGCACCGAAATTTAGGAAATTAGAAAAGAATTAGCAGATTTGAAAAAACAGAAACATAATATGAATATGAAGGAAATGTTAAGTGAAATACAATTAAGAACAGAGAAAGCGAATAACTTCATGGTATTTAACTTTGAAGAATCAAATGCAACTGTACTTAAAGATAAAATTAATGATGATAGAAATAAAATCATGGAGTTGTTGGGAAATTTAAACAAAAACGAAAAAGCAAAGGAAGTTGTGAAAGTTCTGCGTGTTGGTAAACCATTGGGATGAAGACCAAGATCAATCATAGTAGTTTTTTCGAATAGAAATGCTGTTCTTAAGATATTGAAAAACAAGAAAACATTTAAAAACTCCAATATTAAAATAAATAATGGAGAACAAGAAAATAGAATTCAGTTTAAAAACAGCGTTCCAAAAATTGTTAAAAATACAACTAAAAAAACTGATTTTATCACCATTGCAATTTTACTGTCAAAATGTAGGTGGCATTATAATATTAATTGAAAGTTGGTTATCTAAAGACATATTGGAGGAAGAAATTGACCTCCGCTCGTATACCGTGGAGGTGTAATTATAATTATAAAGACGATTCTAAATCCAGTGGAGTTGAGAGTAATTCACCACGATTTAGGACAAAAATAATTTATTATTAGAGGTGCCTATCTCACACCAAATTCTACTGAATTAAAATATGAGAATCATTGTAATACTGTCATTGATATAATGCAAAATAATGAAAAATGTGACATTATCATATTTGGAGATTACAATCTGCCAGAGGCAATGTGGTCAAATGATGATTCTGGTGTTTTAGTTAACTGTCCTCAAGGTTCACATTCTTTATTATTGGCTCAACATTTTTCATTTTTAAATTTATTTCAAAAAAATACTATACCTAATAATAGAAATGTACTGTTAGATTTATTTTTTACAAATTTGATTAATTTGGAAAAAGTTTTATCAAATGATCCATTATTTGATACTAGTTAGTATCCACCATGTAAGTTACTCAGTAACTTTTAATCCAGGCGAGTCAAATTTAAATCATCTGAAATATACAGAATTCTATGACTTCCATATTGATTGAAAGAATATACTGTGATATGCTGTGATATAAATATTGCATCGAATGAGTTCTATCATATCGTAAACATGTGTGTTGCATTCTTTGTCCCATTAAAAAGATTTGTCTCGTCTAATTTCCCTAAATGGTTCAATGTGGAACTTAGATATCTCGGGAGGCAAAAAAAATCAGCTCATAAACAATACATGACAACTCATAATATAGAAGACTACAGATACTTTTCGAAATTGAGAGCAGCTTGTAAAAATCTTTCTAGAACATGTTACAATGACTATATTGGACAGGTAAACCACTCTTTATACAATAATCCCAAATATTTTTGGACATTCATAAACAGTAAAAGGAAATGTAATAACGTACCTAACACAATGCAATATAATGGTAACCTAGCAGCAAATGAAGAACAAATTGTAGAAAATTTTGCAAATTACTTTGGTACACTGACTCTTCTCATATAAACAGGAATAATGATAGTAATTTGGCCACATTTATTAACATTCCCTGTCCATTGTTTTCTACTGAATTGATTTTAAAAATAGTGTAGGACCCAACGAGATTCCAAATATATTTCTAAAAAACTGCATTTTTTCCCTTACTGGCTATCTACATTTTATCTAAGCAATCTATAAATATGGGTGTTTTTCCAGATATCTGGAAACAGTTACAAATCTATTGTTATATGAACAAAATATATTGTTGTAGAAGCTAAAGGACAAGTTGACTCTATTTACACAGATTTCGCTAAAGCGTTTGACAGGGTTGATCATGAAATATTGTTAACGAAACTAGAGTCATTTGGTATACCATCTCAGTTGGTGAAATGGTTTAAAAGTTTTTTGACAGGTCGAAGTCAGCAAGTTAAAATCGGTAGTAATAGATCAAGATTAATTAAGGTTTTCTTAGGTGTACCACAGGGCTCTCATTGTTCACTGCTTTTATTTAATATATTTATTAACGATATAATAGAATGCTTTAAACATTGTGAGTTCTTAATGTTCGTGGATGACCTAAAATTGTATAGACCAATTTACTCATCTAACAATGAAGTCTTCATTCAAAATGATCTCGAAAACTTAGTTAAATGGTGCGACCATAATAACCTACAGTTGAATATTAATAAATGTTGCTTTATAAGCTTTTTTAAAGGGAACAAAACGTGCAACCCACAATATTACATTAATGATAAGCCACTATCTCGTGTTAACTCACTCAAAGATTTAGGAGTTATTTTAGATGAACAATTAAGATTTATTGAACATATAAATTCAATCTCAATAAAATCATCCCAATGCTTAGAGTTAATATTGTGTAACTGTTCTGATTTCTCTGTAGAAGCCATAAAAGAGTTTATCAAACATTGGTTGTACCTCAGTTGGAGTATGCTTCTATAATTTGGTCGCCACAATATCATGTACACTGTTTAGCAGTGGAAAGAATACAAAATAAATTTCTAAGATACTGTGCCTTCAAACTAAATATTCGGGTAACCATTCACAATTATACTAGGATTTTAAATTAAATGAATATGAGCCGACTTAAGTACAGGAGGCTTATATCAGATTTGAATTTTATCTATAGATTATTAAATGGTCAAGTCATATGCCTGGAACTCTTAGAAATTATTTCTTTCAATATTCCTAATAGAGTCCCTAGGCAATTAAATATGTTCCATGTTCCATTTCACAATACAAACCATGGGATGCATTTACCTATTAAAATAACATTGATGGTAATAAATCAAGTGAATCTTGAGGTTACAGACATTTCTTTTAATAAATTTAAGGAAATTTGTACGAATACACTGGAGTAAAAATGAAATATTACAGACATATTTACAATACTTAAAATGCATTTATTAATCTAAAACTTATTTGACTTAACCTTTTTTTTCTTGTATTTTTTAATTTATTTATATGTATTTTGCTTTGTAATGGGGTTGATCCCATTTAAATAAATAAACAAAATCAACAAACAATTTATAGAACAACATAATTTTTGAACCATTTTTTTATTAGTAAGATAATGGACACACAAAATCAATTTATTAAAAGTTAAACACCAACAGGCTTAGGTCTCAACCAAAAAAAAAGGAACAACTAAAATTAATAGAATTTACAATAAATATTGCAAACATCATTAATAATGATTTTTATAAGAACACTAATATGAATTCTCAGAGAAGGAAGGCTAGTTATGAGGAGAAAAAAATTGAGTGGCAAAAATTAAAGGTAATAAATGAAACAAATAACAAAATTAATTTTAGGAATAATTGAAAGAATCTTAGTCTCTATCAATAAATTAATCAATGGCAACAATGGGTATAAGCAATAATTTTATAAAAAATTGTAAGAAAAGGCAACGACTATTTCGCTGGTTAAAAGAAAAACCGCCATTTTTTTGTATGTGGAAATAACTTATAGTATGCTGCATTGCCAGTTTTATTAGTTTTAAATTGTATTATTATTATGTATTATGTAAATACTTACGTCATATCAATTTCGTTAAAAGTAGTCAACATTGCGTTCACATTTTGTGCTTCTTTGAGTCGTTGAGCAATCCTTTGTCTCATTCTATTCATTTTGACTTTATGTTCGGTGCGTGTGCCAGTTATTTCCTGGGTTGGATCTTGCGGAGGTAACTTAACAGTTGCTGCTTCTAATGACTGAGCGTGACGTATTGCAGCAACAGGTATAGAACTTAAGGGGGCCGCAGGTCTAGGTGGAGGTGGGACTGGTGCCGCAGCTGGAGGTGGAGACGGTGCCGCTGCAGCAGGAATAATGTACACAATTACAAAACATATTCAAAAAACTAATAATCTAAATACATCCAGGGTATACCAACAATAACTTGACCCACCCAGAAACTCAGAAATAAAGGGGTAAACAAATATGGTCTAGTAACATCAAATGAAAGGGGTAACGTTTTTCTCTATATTACAACCTTATAATTTTTTTCTGTTTATGAAATAACTGAAGTATTTATTTGGGAATATTAATAATATCAAAAAAATTAAAATTTCTTTAAATTAACTATACTCTGTTTTTAAACTAGGAGGAGCGAATTGAAAAGACGCATTTACACAGGGAAAAGTAACTAGATTTGTTACTAAGAGCGAGTTTCGAAATATAGTCGTGTTTAAAATTTATGAAATAATTCTTTATCGGCCTTAGTCGGCGAACGGCCAATGAGCGGTTAAGAAACGAATAAATGTCATAGAAATAATTTTTTAATTGGTCCCAGACAACGGTCGCAAATTTCACATTATTGTGATCTGAAATGTGTGTCTAAAACGACATGTCACTTTTAAATTAAAGTCAATATGGTTGTTGATTGATGTCAGAAGTACTTTTACCTTGCTTTTGAAATCGACTTTTTGAGAATAACTATTATCTTTTTAAAATGGATATTAAATATTTAAGAAAATTTTTAATGGAATATCCAGATGTAGCCAGGTTAGTATAAAATATAAAGATCTGTTTACATTTTTAAGGATAATTTGTTATAGGTATAAAAAGTAAAAGTTAATTAGTGAATGACAAGTGGATCACACAGTAACTGGTATCTCTTCTATGAGTAATGTGGATATTATGGCTTATTTAGTATTAACACAATGCGCTAGAGGGCAAGTAAAGGCATTCAAAAGTTTACAGGCCTATGAGTCAGAATTTGTTTTGAAAACTGGAACCAACATTTTCATAACACTACATGTCAACATATATTTTTTAAAGTGAACTATTCATACATACCTATGTATTAATTTTAAGTATTTTTAAAATATTTTTTGTGAAAGTAATGTTAACTCATTGTGCCAAATTAAGATTATCCCTAAAGTAGTAGATGGTGTTTTAAATGTTATAACAATTTTGTAAATAGTTTTATTCTATTCTAATAAATAAAATTTGCTTAAATATTTAGTTACATTTTAATCATTTTGGTTAGAAATTCATCAATTTTTAGTTTTAAAAAATCAGTAATAAAATTATTTTTTTCTAAAATACTTCGGAATTCATCTCTTCATGGAAATCTCCCATCTTTTTACCTTCAAAAACCAATAATGCATTTTCTACAAAACCTTCAGAATCAGCATGTAAAATAATAAGGTGTCTTCCCTTTCTTGTAAAGCTTTTCAGGAATCGCTACCTTTAATAGTACTCAGTGTAGGAGGATCCATAATTATAGATTTTCAATACAATTGCTTACTGAAGAACTATTATTTACGAAATAAAGTAAAAAACTAAGTAATGGATGAGATATCAAATTATAAAATGTCAGAACTGTCAACAATATCAATTATTAGCTGATGTTCATGCTAAAAAGTAATGTGTGAAACTGACTGTAATCTGACCAATCAGAAGGCTACAGAATTGCCAACTTAAATTCAAATCGCTCCTCTTAGTTTAAAAACAGAGTATAATGTATTGTTCAAAATGACCTTCATACAATGATACAATCTACTTTCAAATGGGTTTCTTACATTAGCAAAGTCTTCTGGTACCAGTAATCCGAATTTGATAGCAATTCTCTGCAGTAGCTGATCTGCAAGATCTGCAGATGTGTCCGTAAAGAGAAAAAAATACCTTGCAAATGATGCATTACTTGACAATACTTGCTATTTAAAAAATAGGAGGTTGCTGTCGGGCTCCAGGGGCTTGGATTTATGGGTATGAATTTTATATGATAATTCGACCTGTTGCTAATTAGATAGTTACATTTTTTAAATTTTAAAAAACTCCTTTGTTTTGGGGGGTCAAGTTTTCATTGGTATACCACGTATTTTTTTATAATTTGTAAAAGAGAATAATTAAAGGTAAACTAATATGATTTATAAAAATAGGTTGCATTGTAATTAATAGAGATAGAACTGTAATTAGTATGAAAATAAATGTGTAAATAATATAACTATGTACTGATTGGACACGTAAAACGGTACCTACATAATCAGTTCTAAGTTCAACTAATTAGAAGTTTTCAGTATACTGACATTTTGTATGTTACAATATTAACTTTATATCTATCCTCCGTAGATTATTAAAATCAACTATTGTTAAATGTTGCAACTGATTCCTGTAATAAAGACGAGGTTATTGTTTGAATTGGTACAATATACAGGGTGCACCATTAGGGCGTATTTGATGAATATTTTAATTTGTTATAGACAAGCAAACAAATTTCAAATAAAAGTTATATCGATTTAAAAAATATTTTTGGATATTCCATGGTGTTGCGTTTTGCCTGGCAAATAAAAATGTATATTTATTTAATAGAATACCCTGTATTTTATTTCATTTTTAAAATGTTTTGGTAATGCTACATTCAAACATAGAATTTTATTTTAAACATTACAGGTTTGCCAAGCAATTCATTTTTTATGAAATTAGAGAATGTAGACCCCAAATTATATTGATTTCAAAATTGTTTAATACACAGACTTATAAGATACCAAGCTAAATAATATTTTATTTTATACAGAGTGTTTTGAAACATAAATATATATGGCTAAATTTAAGTTCAATTTACTCAATTTTATCAAATGCAACACTCTGTATATTTTTTTGTGAAGAGCACACTTCGTCATAATCTGCAGAAACCAATTTGAGTTTGTAGGCGTGATCAGACAGATTTAAACGTGATCGAAGCCGCCTGCCGCTCATCACCGCTCATACAAGTTGAATTCAGTAGCGCAGTGTTACTTATTTGTACTTGTTGCATTTATTTGGCTATTTTGAGTTTCTTGAGTTTTGTGCTTCGATTTTTGAGTTTCCTGAGTTTTTGTGCTTCGATTTGTGTGTATATAAACTTTAATTTGTTATATTTTTTGAATTCCTAATTAATTTTGTGTATATTTTGGTAAGTACATTTACAAAACTATAAATATTAATCTCAGAAGACACCGAACATCCTGAAATATTTTAAATACCTTTTAAAAGCAGATTTTTTGTAAACCACATTTTTCTTATCTTAAGAGCTATTGCTGCGGTAAGATAAAATTCGTAGGTTTTATATATTTGATCACCAAGTTCTTAATATTTAAGGTATTGTACGTGATATTTTTTTTGTTGCTATATAGTAACTTAAACTACAGTTCTGTAGTATGAAATCAACAAAAAAGTATTACAACGCAGAAAAAAAAAATTAAAAAAAGTCTGAGTATGATCACTGTTTTAAGTTAGTATATACAGTTGTAGAATCTATAAGGTCTGAAGAGTTAGAAAAACTCAGAGGTATAATCCATGATTTTCATATTATTGAGAAGACTACCAACTCTAAATTGTAAGTTACTATTTTGATTATAATGGCAACGTATTTAATATAAATATTATTTTAGGTATATTACAAAAAATGAAGGATTGTTGTTTTGAATTCCGGGGCAGCATCTCATCACTTAGGAAAATATTATTAAACATGGGTTTTAAGTAAGTATAAATAACGTTATCTAAAAAAATCAAAATAAAATGAAACCAAAATAATTAATTTCTCATAGTCAATTTTTGTACGTATAAAATTACATTGTTTATTTTTTCAGGTGGAAAAAAAATGAAGACAACAGATCTGTTCTGTTGGAATCCTACGACATTAGGAATAAGAGGACAAATTATTTAAAATCCTTAATACATTATCGGCAAGAGGGCAGAACTATTTATTATTGTGATGAGACCTATTTACATAGTAGTCATACACATTCGAAAGGATGGAACGATGGCAAAGGCAAATTCAAAACTCCAATGAGCAAGGGGAAAAGGCTTATAATGTTGCATGCAGGGAGTAAGGATGGTTTTGTAGAAAATGGACTGTTGATATTTACTTTAGGTAATAATCTATTTTTTATAGAAAATTATTTATTTGCGTCTGTACCTACTTCATAAAAATCCATGATGCTTAACAATTGAAAGTTATGATCAGCTTAAATGTAATTTAAACCGTTAAAGTATCTAATTAACAAGTAAGTACTTAATGTAGTGGTTTATTTTATTATCTTCAGTTTAGTTATAAGATCTTTACCTGTACTTAATCCTTTATTGTTATACAAGGGAAAGTTTTTAGTAATAACTTTTTCTTAGGATTATTATAATAAGTCTTATCATCTTGAAGAAATATTTCTTCTAAAAACAGATAATTTTTTAAGTGATTTAAAATTCCTAATAATTTTTGCTTAACTAAGCAATTATTTCATTTAAAAGAGTTTTTTTGTAAGTTTAAGTATCATACAAAAATAATTATGAAAAATATACTTGCATTATAAATAATAAATTCTTTTTTACTTTTTTTCAGGTAAAAAGACAGGAGATTATCATTATGAAATGAACTGGAATAATTTTTCCCAATGGGTTAGAAGGCAGTTACTACCAAATCTTAGTCCAAGGACTGTACTTGCAATCGATAATGCAAGTTATCATAATGTAAAATCTGAAAAATCGATTACAACGCAGGCCAAAAAAGCAGATTTACTTAACTGGCTCGTTAAAAACAATATACCACATGATGCTAAAATGACCAAACCAGAAGTGTACACATTAATAAAAGTTCATAGACCTCCACCGAAATTTCTTTTAGACGATATTCTCGAAGAACATGGACAAAAAGTTCTACGATTACCTCCATATCATCCCGAATTAAATCCCATAGAAAAAATATGGGCCACAGTAAAAAATTGGGTGGATCAACATAACACAACATTCACGTTGGATAAGGTTAAAAAGTTGGCAAGAGAAAAGTTCCGAATTAAAATATATTATTTATTTAAACTTTTAGTTGTTTTATTAATTTAAAGTTCATCAGCAATTTAACTAACGAATAGTTAAAATTTAACATTAACTTATTAATATGTTCGATTTAAAATATTTTATTAATGTACATACGCCACTGCTAAGATATCAGGTACCCCTACCGCAGCAGATTTCAGCCCAGCGCCATCAACTAAAGCTCCACAAAAGTTATGACGTACTGCGCGAACTGTGGCGTAGCTATGACGAAATGTGCTCTTCACAAAAAAATGGAGCTCTACCATAAAATTCCTTATAAATTTGTCTATCCAACATGTTAGTCAATAATACATATAAAGGGTGTTCCATCAGTGCGTAATTGATCGATAGCTGTTTTAATATAACAGTTGTATGACCATATTTAACAATTATTCTTAAATATACAGGGTGGTCCATAAACGAGGAGTTGCTCAAACCTATACTTTTTTAAAGCAAAACGCCCTGCAGTTATTTATACATATTTGATTGTTTTTTCATAGTCAAACAATTTTAATTGACTTTATTCATTTGATATGTTGTAAAATATGTATTTTTCAAATCCATTTAACTTTTATTTGAAGCTTGTTAGCGTGTCTATAACACACATCGAAATATAGAACAATTACGTACTAATGGGACATCCTGTATATTAAATATTATACAAATAAAGTTATTTGATATACAATGGTTACAATATAGTGTCGTGAAAATAATTTTGTTCTAATATTTTGTTGGCAACCCAGTAAATTGCTAATAAATAAGCACTCCTAATAATAATTTAACAAAGGGCGGCTCCAAGCCGAATTTTCAGAGGGGGCCATGGCTATTAGCCATTCTCTTTTTAGATTTTTATGTAATAAAAGGTTCATGGATTGCAAGAATTTAAATCTTGGGGCCTCCTTCTCTGGACCCGTCCTTTAATTAAACTTTGTATGTGTTACACACAATACTCGAATTCAGGTAATGCCCGAAAAAAATTCTTAAAACTAATTTTGCGCAACGAATAATTCCGAAACCCTAAATTGTACTCTTCTACGGCTATTGAGCGTTAGAAAATTGTGCAAAACTAGTTTTGTATATTTTTGAATGATCAATACTAGTTCTACTTGTTTTATTTAATCAACGTTATAGTTTTGTTTATTTTGTAATGCTCAATAGCTGTAGAAGAGTACAATTTCGGTTTTGCGAATTATTCGTTGCACAAAATTAGTTTTGCACATTTATTTCGGGCATTACCCGAATTCGAGTATTGAACGTAACATAAGCACCTTTTAAACAGGTTGAATGGTTTTCAGTTTTAAATAGTTAACTGAAAACATCAAAAATATTACTTACCAGATGGTGTAGGTTTTGGTGGAGCTGGTGCTGGTTGTGCCGCTGCTTTCGGAGCTGGTGGGGGTGGAGCTTCGGCAGGTTTAGCTGCAGCTGCTGCGGGTGCTCCTTCTCCAACACTCAATTTAAATAGGTCCTGGCCAGGTTTTACCGTATCTCCATCATTGACTAAAATTTCGGTTATAGTACCAGCAGCTGGCGAATGAACAGGCATTGCGGTTTTGTCGGTTTCAATCTCCATGACAACTTCATCGGCGCCAACATAGTCACCAACTTTCTTTTGGAGTCTTTAAAGATAAAACTTTTTGTTACAGCAAAACAAAAAAATGTTATATTAAAATTAGCAAACAGAAGTCACTGAAATAATAATTCAATGTCTCAAGTTTTAATGGTCAGTTTTACTGACTACTGACTAAAATTTGAAACAGTTGTAGTAAGTAGGACATTTTTGTATCTTTGGGGTCAATTATGGGAGTTAAATTGGAAGTTAGTCTGATAACATTGTGTTGGAAGTCAAATAGCAGCTTTTTGAAGTACGATTTCAAAACTATATAATACGTTCGTTTCCGTTACTTTAACACTTTTTTGAAAAAATGCTAAAAGACTGCAGTCCCCCAACTTATCTCCAAAAATAATGCTCAGAAATATTTTTAAAAAATCATTAATTTTGTAAATAAGATATATATTGAACAAAAATTATGACGATTGCATTCCATTGAAGAATTTTAAACAAAAAGAAAGCTCTACTGTACCTACTAATACTTTCTATTAGTGCACGGTTTAAATCTATCAACGTATCACCTCTACTTCTTTTAAAACAACTACGGCATGGAACACTATTGTATGACTTGTACTTGGTTTACAAAATATACATTGTACAGCAAACGAAAATGATTACGTTATGCATTAGTGATTACGTAATATTTCCTTTTAAAATATTCTTCAATAGCTTTTATAAGTAAAAAGTTTAGTTTCTTATCAAATAATCAATAATGCATTAGCCTTATTTGTCCCAATAAAACTACGAAAACAATCTACTTTCCCGGTTTGGTTGTCCTGAACTTAAACAACTTATCTGGCAAAAAAAGAGGGCTCATGCAAAATACAAAAGTACTTCCAATTATGACGACTATTTACAATTTTCAAGTTTAAGATGCAGGTGTAAGACTTTATCCAATGAGTGCTATGCTATTTATACAAACAATGTTAATAGGTCAATTTCAAATGATCCTCGTCAATTCTGGTCTTACTTTAATTCAATAAAAAAAAAGTTCTCAACTCCCAGATCAAATGACATTGGACGACAAAATAGGTAACGATGGTAAATCTATTTCTACGCTATTTGCTGAATATTTTTCTAAAAATTATATTATTAATCATAAATTAAACCCAGATAACTATCATTTAAATTTTTCCTCCTCAGTTGATATTGGACCCATATGTTTTTCCATTGAGGATATATTTAATGGTATTGGTTCCTTAAGTGATAAACTAAGCAGTGGTCCTGATGGAATCCCATCGTACTTCCTAAAACATTGCATTTACTCTTTATGCAAACCACTACATATAATGTTTAATTTATCACTAAAACTTCAACAATTTCCTAACTCATGGAAAGAGAGTCATGTTATACCTGTATTCAAAAGCGGATCCAAGCAGGAAATTCAGAACTACAGACCTATTTCGATTCAATCCTCGATTCCAAAATTATTGGAGAAGCTGGTAAATAATTGTTTATCTTGGCACTGCAAAAACTTACTTACTGATCAGCAGCACGGTTTTACAAAAGGAAAATCTACTACAACTAATCTTGTTATTTATCACAATTACATAATAAATTCTGTAGAAAACGGTTTGCAAGTAGATGCCATTTATTCAGACTTTTCTAAAGCCTTCGATCAAGTCAATCACGAATTACTATTACTCAAACTGCAAGCCTACGGATTCCCTCCCTTTCTTCTAGAGTGGCTTAAAAGTTATCTCATTGGTAGAGTGCAGCGTGTCAAAATAAAGAATTATTTGTCTGATCCCATAGAAGTTTCTTCTGGTGTACCGCAAGGGGCCCACTTAGCTCCATTACTTTTTAATCTATTCATTAATGATGTTGGATCTGTTTTTGAATATAGTAATTATCTGCTATTTGCTGACGATTTAAAGATTTACTTAAAGATTAACAGTGGTGATTGCTGTAATAATATTGAAAAAGATTTCCATGCCTTATGTAAATGGTCTTCCTCTAATGGTCTAACCCTAAACACTAGTAAGTGTTATTGCATTACTTTTACAAAAAAATCATAATCAAATAACACATAACTACTCTCTGAATAACAATACATTAATTAAACGTGTTACCGAAATTAAAGACCTGGGAATCGTATTTTGCTCAGATCTTTCGTTTAATAATCATATCAATCTTATAGTTAATAGAGCAATGAAAATGTTAGGCATGCTGATAAGAAACTCTAGCTCGTTATCTTTAGATGCCTGTAGAATGGTTTATATTGCATATGTGCGGTCCATTTTGGAGTACAGCTCTACCATATGGTGTCCATTTTACATAAACTCTGTGAAAAGGATTGAAAATGTCCAAAATAAATATCTACGATATTGTGCCTTTAAAGTTGGTCTAGCAGCAGGTACATATAATTATTCCACAATTCTGGACTTAATAAACCTCCCAACCCTTGTTAATAGAAGAATATTGATGGATCTATCATTCCTCCATAAGATCATAGCCGGGATTATTACTTCTGATGAGTTATTAGCTATGATTGAATTTAGAGTTCCCACAAGAACTACAAGAAATAATAGTTTATTTGCCATTCAACTTCACCTTACCAATTATGCTTATCATGCACCTCTACCTAGACTAATGCGACTGACTAATCAATACAATTTAGACATCACTGGGTGTTCTATTAGTCAATTTGTGAATGATGTAAAGAGAATTTGTTTTTAATATCTTTAGTTTAGTTTTTTACATTTCATATATGAAATTTTAGATTTATTGTGCCTACCTTTTTTAATATACTTAAGCTATTTTATGTAATTTATTGATACTAATGGATTATTCCGTAATATATATTTATTTATATTTAATATGAAAATAACTCTTGGGAATTTTCCCATTATTTAATAGCTTAGAGACATGAATAGGCAAATTAAACTGGATTAGCAATAGCTATATTATTTCTCCACAAAATTTAACATTTAGAAGAACATATTAGTTTATTTAATTACATATTTATGATTTTAAATAATATTTTTTAAATGATATATTTTAAGCAGATTAAATGTCACAGAGAATCCATCTGTAGTTGCCAACTACAATTAAAAATAGCTTCTGCTAGTTAAAAAAGTTTGTACACAATCAAATATATTGCACACTTATATTAAATAAATTAGTACTTATTAAATGTTAATCAAAAAAGAATTAAATAAATATATTAGAAATAAAAAATCAAAAATACTTAGCTAATATTAATAATTATTATATAATTTTTATCTAAAGCTACTATGTGATATGTACCTATATTTTATATTAATATTTCATGTATATTTTATATTTATGTTTCACTTTAGGTTTTTTTTTTTAATTTGATGTCATCGGCTTCGACTACTAAGGCCATTATCCTCGCGCTCTGTGTAGGCTTTGTTACTGTTTCCCAGCGCCACTTTAGGAACAGCACTGTTAATTCGAACTCAACAGTGAATGGTCGAGTGGGGAATCCTACCAAGGCATCAGAATTAATTTTAAATAATTAAATAAAAAAATCCCGGCCAACGGTGGGATTCGAACCTGGGACCCTTGGATCCACAGGCAGAGACTCTACCACTGAGCCACCCACCCCATTCCACTTTAGGTTTTAAGTTTAAAATTGCAAACATTTAATTATTTTGTTAAACTAATCTATTGTTTTTATATTAGGATATATTCCTATTAATATAGATTCATTAATCATATCTTTATTAATCACTATCAAACCATTTAATATTTTTCAAAATCAGAAATAGATCTTTATAATTTTTGCAATCTGCTTTATAAACTCCTGTTTAAAAGTAAGAAACCACTATAAAAACTGATATTACATTTTTGTTATTGCAATTTTTAGTGAATTTAACATTGTGTGATAATATAAATAGGGACAATTAAAAAAACATTGCTTTGTAGAATGTTTATTTTTATTAAAATAAAAGTTGGTTGTGAGGGGATGTCCACAGGGAGGGGTGCTGACACCTCTATTGTGGAACATGGTCCACAACACCCTCATCAGCCGCCTCAATAATGACACAATAACGTATGCAGATGACCTTGCCATTCTGCAAACAGGGAATTTTAAGAATATATTCTGCAAAATAATGCAAGTAGCAGCTCTTAAAATTATAGAAGCAAGGATGATTAACTGTCTATCACTCCCAAGAAGACAGAAATGGTCCTTTTTTACAAGGAAAATGATGAAAATGGAATTAAAACCTCCAGAGCTCCTAAACACTAAACTTTGCAACAAAAGTGAAGTAACTAGGCCTCACCTTTGACAGCAAGTTAACATGGCGCTCACACTTAGGAAACGAGTCAAAAGAGCATACATTGCTTAAAAACAATGCCGCCAAACCGTGGGGGACACCTGGGGTATCGCATCGCGTGGACTTACACTGCCATCATAAGACCTATGCTAACATACGATGCAGTTGTCAAGGTACCGCAAACGCAAAAATTTGATAACTATCTGCAAACTAGAACAAATTCAAAGAACAGCATGTCTAAACATAAACATCGACCAGAGCCGTGGAAGTCATTCTTAGTCTCACTCCCTTTGTTATTTACATCAAGGAGGGGTTGCTCTGATGACAATGACACGGTTGGAATAGAACCTGATGTAGGTTCTGGTGAGGCGAAACGTTGCTTTTGGCAGGCGCTCGACACGCTCCCACTGCTTCAAGCGAACAAATAGAAGAGCTGGAAGTGGCAAGTACGATTCATATCTACACTGACGATTCTAAAACAAAACAAGCCTCAGGATGTAGAATAAACTCCAGATCCTTAAACTTAAAATAGAGCAATAGTAATGGCACTGTTACTATTGCAGTTCAAACAGAGCTCACGGGGAATCTCATAGCTACAAAAAAAATCGCCAAAAACAATATCACTGGAAGGAACATGCTCATCTATATAGATAGCATACAAACACTACTCACCCTGAATAGACCCCGAATTTACTCAGAGTTGGTACTAGAAGTCACTAAGCTTTGGCCGAAGTATCCATCAACAATGTGGTCACCTTAAGATGGATCAAAGGTCACGCCACATCAAAATACTTTTTGGACCTGGCCCTTCTATTGGCCTGACAAAATCGGTAGTGACAGACCTAATTAAAGAACATTCCCTTGTGAAATTCAATGAAAAATAGGATGAAGCAAGAACTGCAGCAGAGTTGCCAGGGAGATTTTAAGTTATCCTGATAACACGGCAGGAAACAAATACTTGATTATGACTAGACAGAATCTGCGCCTGGTCACAAACATTTTGAATGGTTATTGCCAAGTACGGAAGCATCTCCATATAATGGGGCTGTCAGATTCTGCACTCTGCAGGGGGTGGGAACAAGAAGATAAGACTATCGAGCATATCCTCTACGATTGCCCGATGCTCTCATTTATTAAGATTTGTGTTCAACGAGTATCGGCTAACACCGGCCGATATAAGACGTTGTCAACTACATTATGTCGGTAGGCTTGCTCACAAACTAGGAGGTGCCTATCATCTTAGGAGGATGCACAATGGGCCTAGTGCGGCCTAAAAGCCGTGGGGTAACCCACCTTCCACACATTACATAACTTATTTGCCGACTATTTTTCTTCAGTCTACACCAATCAGAATATATATCTTTAGGAATGTTAAGATTGAATCGAAACTTAATGTAAGCTCATATCATTTATTTATTTACTCAAATAGTTACACTACAGAATTGCTATTCTAAATGTTACACAAAATTAAAATATTAAAATATACATATATCAAATCAACCAACTCTGGCCACACACAAAAATATACCACATAAAAAAAAAAGAAACATAATTAAAGCAAGACTGTAAAATTGCATACAAATTAAAACAAAATTATTTAGAAATTTTCAAATTGTTCTTTAGCGCATATAACGTTGCATTAAATAAGTCATAGTCAGAGTAAAGCTTATTGTAAATGTGGCACATACGGTGAATAAATGCTCTTTGTCCGTAATTGGTTCTGTGTCTTCTGATAAAAAACAATGAAGTATGAGGTGTACGTCGAATAGGTGCCAAAAAGCTAATAGATTGTAATAAAGTGCTCAGTCGATCTTACCGTCAATTAATTTATATAGAAACAGAACTAAAGCATGCATTCTTTTGGTTTCTTGGCTTTGCATACCACATAAATGTAGCCTACTTTCGTAACTAACGTTTTGGTAGGAAAAGTGTTTAAAAAGCAAAGAGTGAATTTACGTTCAATCTCTCTATGTGGCAGGTATAGTTAGGATGCCATACGACGGAGCAATATTCAAGAATGCTTCTAACAAGGCTGTTAAATAATGTTAAGATTGATGTAGTATCATACATATGTTGGATATTTCTTTTAATAAAGCGAAATTACGGAAAGCTTTACAAATAAATAAATCAATGTGTTCTCTAAAGTACAATTCCATATCAAAGATCACCCCTAGATCATTAACAGATGTGACATTTTGCAGCACAGTATCACCAATTTTGTATCTGTTGAGATAAGGGGTTAAAGCTCATATTCCAATTTCAACTATTTACAAGAAGTTAGCTAAACTTGATACAATGGACCAGGTCCTGATGCGATTCCCCCTTAGTCTTGAAAAATTGCAGCTTTATAATTGTCTCCTCCTCTATTTTTGGGATTATTGGAAACTCTCATATGTAACATGGATATAAAAGTCTGGTAAAAATCTGACATTAAAAACTACCGTCTCATATCTTTAAATTAGCATAATCTCAAAGCTCTTTGAAAGCATCATTATGACTGCACTAGTATCCTATGCAACAATCTATGAAAATGTTAGACATGGGACTTTTCATGAAAAGTAATTTTTGGACTAGTCCGACGGACATTTCCGGAAAAGTAGAGAAAATTATTGAAAAGTCACAATAAAAGTGGTCGACCTTGAGCATAGAAGACACACAGTTAAATCTCCTTCCTGGATGTTTTTTTTTAACAATATTTGCATTTTTATTTTCGTTTTTTTTTTTAGGCAAATCATTAGTAAAAAAAACTTCCAACCTTTCGAAAACGTCGTTAAAATATTATAAAAGTCAGTAAACATTTGTCGTTTCTTCTTTTTTAAACTAAATTTTGCCTTTGTTTGTAAATAATTCAGAAAAATTAGTTAATTTAATTTCGCGCATGCGCAATACACTTTTGAAAAGTGTGTTTGGACTAGTCAACTTTTCAGACTAGTCCGTGGACTTTTCAAAGAGACCAATCACTAGAAAATGTAAGGATATATTAAAAAAAGACCCGCGACTTCATTGATGTAACTGCTATTAAAACTTAATTATAATTTAGTTAGGAGTCACTCAATTATTGCTTTTCTATATGGTCCCCATCATGTAATTAAAAATTGATTGTCTTCAGAACAATTTTCTTAGGTACATAGCCTTTAAATTACAAATGTTTTATAATTATACAATAATGGAGCAGTTTTTAAAGATACTCTCTCTGAAAACCAGAAGAAAACATAGAGACCTGATCTTACTTTTTAATATTGTTATTGGAAGATAATATAATTGTCCTGACATACTATGGAAAATTAATCCAAGAGATTAAAAATATTTTATATTCCTTTTTATAGACTTGTAACAACTGATGGGTGGCTTTGAAAAGTGCATGGACAAGTCCGACAGACTGAAAAGTCGATTAGTCCAAACACACTTTTCAAAAGTGGAAAAGTGTATTTCGCATGCACGAAATTAAATTAACTAATTCATCAGAATTTCTTACAAACTAAGACAAAATTTAGTTAACAAGAAGAAGAAACGACAAATGTTCACTGACTTTTATAATGTTTTAACGATGTTTTCGAATTTTCGTTTCAAATCTTATTAAAATACTCGTGAAAAAAAAATCCAAAAGTTGGAAGTATTTTACAAACGATTTGCCTAAAAAAACGAAAATGCAAATATTGTTCCCAGTGTTTTTAAAAAAACGTCCAGGATGAAGATTTAACTGTGTGTCTTCTATGCTCAAGGTCGACTACTTTTCCAGGCAGATTGAAATCTATTAAAAGTTGTCCTAGATGGTTTTAAAATTAGAATTAAATGGTATGAAACTCGAGGATGTGATAATTTTTGGCTTTGGGAAAATTTTTAAACTGTCTGTCATAATATCATAAATTTTGAGATGTTTTTAAGATATCCCAGTTTGGTTCAAGACCAATATTCATGAATTTTATATATAGGAATAAAATCTAAATGCATGTAAAACTGAATACTACTTAAATAACAAAGTCAAAATCTTATAATCTTTAAAAAAAAATGTGTAGTCAATTAATTATGATCAAAATTTTAAAACAATTTTTAAATTATGATTCACTATAATTTTGCTTTTGTTTTTAAGAGTTGTCCTGGGGGTGGGTTGGCTCAGTGGTTAGAGTCATGACTTTGAGATCGGAAGGTATCAGGTTCGAATCCCACTGTTGGCCAGAATTTTTTCATTTAATTTAATTATTTAAAATTAATTCTGATGCCTTGGTAGGATTCCCCACTTGACCATTCACTGTTGGGTTCTAAGTAACAGTGCTGTTCCTAAAGTGGCGCTGGGAAACAGTAACAAAGCCTACACAGAACACGAGGCTAATAACCATAGCAGTTGATGCCGATGACACAAAAAAAAAGTTGTCCTGCTAGACTGTTTCTCAAGAATGCACAAAAACTTTTATTAAAATCGTTCACTATCTTTTTTGCTAAATGTAAACAGTCACAATTACAGTTGGAAGGTTAAAACCAGAGGTGGCTCATGGCCTAGTCTACAAGGAGACTGGCACACCCTATACACTTAACACAAATATATATTTCTATTAGAATACAATCTAATATTTCTGGTTTTTGCATTGTAATAGAAATATATCTATGTATTTGTGCCTTTCAAAAGTAGCCCCCGTAGTCTCCTCATAGACTAGCCACAAGCTGCCTCTGGTTAGAATATAATGAACCTTGGGCTGCTTCATGATTTGCAGGGGTTATGAGTCTTTAACAATACCAATATCCCACAGGATTTTATAAAATAAGAAATTTTAATGAAAATAACCATTCTTAAGCAACTTTTATGACAAGTATCAATTCTGTCAAATAGGCCAGTAACATTAGGGTTACTACTGAAGTTAATGTTACTTTTGGATATTGGTATTGTTGAAGACTGTATCTCACAAATACTTTGTTAAATTCGTCGCTGGAAAGACAAAAGGCTGTAAGTGGAAAAATGCCTAATTTGAATTAGGACAACTGGATAAGATATGACAAAGGGGCTTATCTCCCCTCCTTAGAGTTAACATAATATGGCAAATTAATATGCACTATACACCAAAAGTTTAATTGCATCTCCTATAAAATAGCTAAATTGGAGTTACACCTGTTTATCTTTCCAGCAACGAATTATGAGTTAAAAGTAACTTTCTACTTCTTACTTGACATCTCCTTCAGTTACTGATTCTGCAAAGGGGGGTACTTTTACAGTTTGAGAGTTGAGGCACACACTAGATGTTTGAAAATGTCTATTACAGGTGATGACACATTTATGATTTCTAAAAAAATTAACAATTATAAATTAAGAAACCACATTTAAACAAATAAGTATTACCTTAGTGAATTAGATTTATTTAAGTTAATACTGTATTTTCGAATTAAATGTTCCCCTTGGTAAATATATCTCTGCTGTGTAGATACCTGTAATTTTGAGATTACATAATACATGAATCGAGAAATAAATTGCACATATATATACAAATTATATAAGTACAAAAAACTAAGTTGCTTATTTGCATTTATTATTAAGCAAAATTAATACTGACCTCGGTTATCCCTTTTTCCAGTGATTTTCTTAAGTGCCTGAATGATGATCTGGGTAAACTTTTTAAAATTATGTTCGACATACTTAACATATCTGAGGATATCGTATCTCTCAAGAACCCCCAAATAAAATGATTTTTAAAAAAGGGGCTCAAATTTCAAAATCGCAGCTCATGTGCCACCAATTGCCCCAACTATGAACCAAAATTGTGATTGAGAGACAAAACTGAGCCCCAGTCAGATGTCAAAATTACCTCATAAGTTGACATTGACAACGCCAAATGTCAAATTTACGACTTCACGAAAAACTAACAGTTATGGGGGTATGGAACTATGACCAAGTATTAAGATAGACGGATATCCTTTCAGTTGTAATAGGAGATGTTACCATGGTGGAGTATCCTTACACCATGGATGATACAATAGTAAACAGTGGCGTACCCCACGGGTATCCTATTGAATTCCTAATTCCTATACTGAGAGCGCAGTATGGTCTCTGTTCACGATGTTATAGAGAAAGTAAAAGTTAAAATGACTTATTAATGGCTACGTTCAGCAGAAAAAAAAAGATCGGGACCTGTTTCAGATTAATTTGCAACAGTTTTATAGTCTGCTGAACAGTATTTTTTTGCGTTTTGAGCAAGAAACTGTAGTAACATTTGACATTTATTAAAGTCAAAGTCTTGTAACAAATCTCCGAACAATGGATGGCAATATTTTAATGTTCGCCCTTGACGATGATAATATTGACTTAAATATTATTGTAAAATTGACGGAAGAATTAGTACAACCCATAAATAGTTTAAATATTAAAGAACGAAAGAAAAAGCCGCGAAACGACGATTATTTTGAAGTCACCATTCCAAAATACAATGACAATTTATTTAAAGAACATTTTAGAATGTCCAGAAGTAGTTTTGAGGTAAATACTGTACATTACATATTGCAAGAGTTTATAATATATATAAATGTTTGTGTAGGAATTGCTGACAGTTATTGGCAATACTCTGGTCAATGATATAATACTGTCAGTTGAATTGCAGAAAAAAGTACTATTTACTCTATGGACCTTAGCTAAACCAGAAAGCTTTCTTGCTGTAGGTGATAGATTTGGTTTGGCAAAAAGCAGTGGACATGCAGTATTTAAACAAATTGTCACCGTTCTAGCAGATTTATTGCCTATGTATATATACTGGCCTGCTTTAGATAACTATGCTAGGGAAGCTCGAGTAAGTACTTATATATAAGTTTAGTAAAAATTAATCATAATGTAATAATTTGTTATTTTAGTATTTTGAAATACGGTCAGGTGGATTCCCAGGTATAATAGGAGCTGTTGATGGGTGCCACATACCTTGTAAACAACCCATTGGCAATGCTAATGACTTTTACAACCGTAAGGGATTTCATTCAATCATTTTGCAAGGTAAGAACTGTTTCTATTACTTACGTGATTTATTAAATAAAACTTAAAAAATACCATTCTATTAAATTTTTTAATAATTTTTAGGTACTTGTGACCACAAGGGTCGCTTTATTGATGTTTTTATAGGAATGCCAGGGCGCATGCATGATGCACGTGTATTAAGGAACAGTCCTCTATTTACACTGTTAACTGCAGCAGACCATCCATCAAACTATCATGTGATTGGTGATTCTGCATACCCACTCCTAAAAACTTTAATGACACCATTTCGTGACAATGGACATTTAACAAATGCTGAAAAAACTTATAATATTAAACTGTGTTCTGTCAGATCAATTATCGAACGAACGTTTGGTGCATTGAAAGGAAAATTTCGGCGCCTTAAATTTTTAGATATGACTGACTTGCAGTTAGCAAATAAAGTAATAGGTGCAGCCTGTGTTCTTCATAATTTCATGATTGATCATGGTGAACTTAATGTACAAGGTTTTGAAGAACTGAATGTGGTGAATGAATATAATTTTATAAATAACGGCCCTGTTGTAAATGAGGCCGTAGATAAACGAAATACTATTGTAGCATTATTTCAATAAAATTTAACAAACACATTCTATTACCTTTATTAACAAAATAAAAAAAAAACGAACATTTTAATAACAAAAATCAAATCCAAACACTTAAACAAATTTTAAAGTAAATACATATTGGACATGCAGGGTGTACCAATAAAAATTGCCAGGCCGGATATTTTGGTAAGTAATAGATATTTTAATTCCGTAAAAGCCAGTTCACAGATCGCTAAGAAAGCTTTAGTTTTAGATATAAATTAATTTTAAATAGATCAATATGTAGATGGCGCTGCGCTCATTTTTTTTTTGATGGGAGGATCTTTCTTATATAGCACATCTTGTAAAAAATGCATTTTAAGGCAGATTTTGTTCTATAAACTAATTCGATAAATTAGCCATTTTTGATCACTCAAAACAGTTTCATCCTATTTTTCGGCATTAATCATTGGATTTTAAGAAAATGCTAAAACAGGTCTATTTTTATTCTAAATTGAACACAGTTTTACAATACAGACATCTGTCATATATCAACCCCCTCCCTTCCACTTCTCCAATCCCTTAATTTTAAATAAGGAATGTACCATGTGCCGTACATTATTGAAACGGTAATTTTATGGGGAAGTCAGAAATATTACTGCTTATTGCGATACTTTTAATTTTAGCGCCTTCTATCGGAACAAAAAACCTGTAACGTATTATAAAGTATAACACTTCATTTGAAAGCTAATTCAACACACCACATAACATTAATATAAATATTTCCATATTGCACTTGTAATAAAATAAAGTTAGCAATAATGTTTGTAAGTGCAATGTGGATGATATTTATATTAGTGTTATGTGATGCATTGAATTAGTAATTAAATTAGCTTTTAAATTAAGTGTCATACTTTATAATACTTTACAGGTTTTTTTTTTATCCCAATAGAGGGCGCTAAAATTAAAAGTATCGCAATGTCATATTTCTACATTTCCCATAAAATTACTTTTTTGATGATGTACTACACATTGTAGTGTCACACTCTATAATACGTAAGTTGAAATACTGAAAGACAGGATGAAACTGTTTTGAGTGACCCACTCTGTATATCAAAAATGGCTAGATTTATTAAATTAGTTCATAGAACATAATCTGCTTAAAAATGCATTTTTTACCAGATGCATCATATAAGATCCTCCCAGCGAAAAAAAAAAAATATTGACCACATCGCCATCTACATATTGGTCTATTTAAAATTAATTTATATCTAAAATTGAAGCTCTCTTAGTGCTCTGTGAACTGACTTTTACAGAATTAAAATATCTCTATTACTTACCAAAATATCCAGCCTGGGAGTTTTTATTGGTACACCCTGTATATCTGGATGGGCTAAAAATAACACTTTTTTTTATTGTCAACTTAGAGAAAATGTTATTCTTCTTAAGTTTGTTTTGCTTGTTTCAAAAATAATACTAACAGAATTTGAATATCTTTTTGCTTTAGTAAAATAATGACAAAACATTATTTTTGATTTATTTACATGTTTGTCATTATTTCACTAAAGCAAAGATAGCCAACTTCTGTTTGGATTATTAGTTTTGAAACAAGAAAACCTTTCATGAATATTTTTTTGAAAAGGTGAAAGTAAAGTTTTTACTCGTCTTTTACAGTTATCCAAAAAAAAACTTATTTTCACCCTGTTGAAAAAAAAAATGTTATTCTTTATAAAAGTTTTTGTTTGTTTCAAAACTAATATTTATCCAAACAAAAGTTGAATATCACTTTTCTTCAGTGAAATAATGACAAAAATCTGATAAAAAAACATTTTGTTATTATTTCACTAAAGCAAAGAAATATTCAACTTCTGTTTGAATATTTTTCGAGACAAGTGATAATTTATGAAGAATACCATTTTTTTACAGTTGAAAATAAAGTTTTTCCTGTTTTACAGTTCATGGAGATATTTTTATTAACCAAAACAAACCTATTTGTTAACTAATTTCATTAATATCTCATTTCTTTCTTTTTGTATGCGATTATTTTCCTCCACACTTTCTCGCAACTTTTTTAATTCTTCCACCTTTGTTTCATCTAAAGTTTTCAATTTTTGTCGCATGGAATACACTTCTCGACTTTTGAGGGCTTTTTTTGTTTTTGGTGTTTGAGTTACACATCTAGACATCGATGATGTACCTGGAGTGACTTCTCTTGGCAAGAGATTATGATTATGAGAATTTAAGTTTTCTTGCTGTACGCAAGATGTATTACTGATACTACTTCGAGTACTACATTGTGCCTGTTGAGAAGACACACAAAATGTATTATTAAATAGAGCCTGTTGAGAAGGTAGTAAAACAGGTGAAGATGCCAACGTTTCTCCAAAATTAACTGTTTTATCGTCCAAAAATATTTCTTCCATCATTTCAAAATAATCCCAACTAATCCGACTAGCACCCGTTTTTTGTTGGTTATCTTTTATGGTCCTGTACCTTTTTTTCATATTTCTCATCTTCCTATCTAAAATATCTTCATTCACACCTTTGTACCCTTTCTCCAAAAATTTGTTTTTCATATCTCTCCAAATACTTTTTTTTTTAATTTTAGGGTCTCGAAACTGGAGTTTTCGTTCCATGTAGAGCTGAAGCACTAATTTGGTTGTTTGCTTTGTCCACTCAAAATGTTCAGGCTCTGAAAAGAAGTTTATTCATATTAGAAATAATTTAAAAAAATCACCCTAAAAATTATACCTAAATTGGTTTCCACTTCTACTTCACCTTCGAGTGAACCTTCTGCAGAGCCTTCTTGACTAAAAGTAACATTAGAATCATCTAAAAAAATCATTATGTTACATCATATTAAAGTTACTATAAAAAGTTACTTACCTATATCATCCTCATTCTCAAGCTGAAACGCTACTTCGATATTACATGCCTCTTGGGCTTTTCTTAATAATGTATTTGCTAACACATAATCTAAAATATTTAAGTATTTATACATTTTATATAGCATATTAAAATGTCAATTCTACTATACCTCCATTCAGTACTAGATGCTTTTCTTTAGCAGTCACCTGAATTTTGAAAGTTTGATCGAGATCTGGGTCAAATAATTCTAGAACTTCCATGTTTTCTTTTTATTTTTCTGTGCCCTCGTCTTTAATCTATGTAAGTTGATCTTAACCTCAAAAACCTAATACTCAACATGTTTACTTGAAAGGTAGCAAAAATTAAATACGCTCCAAAAAATGGCGACTGATCCCACAACTGTTTCACGCAACGTTGAGAAAAGTTGTCGTTCAGCAGAAAATA